TTTTGCTGATGGTGTACATGTGCTTGGGCTAGGCATTTGGTCGGGCTGGTCGCGATAAACAGGGTGGAACTGCCGAGCTGTGGCTACCAGTGAGACGTGGGCCAGCACCAGGCATGGAAAAGTTTGTCGAGGGCAATGCGTGCCGCAGCTGGGCGCTCGGCAAGTTGCTAGATCCCCGCGCCGTGACATGCTTTGCTGCCGGCCAGCCGCTTTGTGACGTGTGCGCAGGAACAGCACAGCGCCTGGAGCCAGCAATAGCTGCGCACCAGCAGCGCGCTGCCCAAGCGTTGAGTGTGGGGCATGTGGAAGCAGAGCCCGAGGCGATGGCGGAGGAGGAAGATGTGTTGTCTGAGCCACCTGCAGCACGGCTCGAGGAAGAAGAATCGATCGGGCCAGAGTCCGCTTTGGATGTAACTTCAGCATCGAACGTTGACACGGCAGCATCACCAGGACCAGGTGCCGTTGCGGCGCAGTCGAGCAGAAGCACTCCACGTGCCCAGGACACGGCTGTGGTGGCGACAAATGGAGGGCCAATGACGGACGCTGCTGTGCCACGGATACAGACGAGTGCTGCTTGGATTGATGAGGCAGATACAGCATCCATGTCGGTGCCAGCTTCACCCATGGTCTCTAATGCTGATGACGAGGCGCCTTTACAGCAAGAGGCGCGCGGCCCGGAGCAAACCACGTTGGCAGAGGGCGAGAGCACGCCACAGCCAGTCATTCAGTCAGCAGCACAGCCAACCCCCACGAAACACGCGCCAACCCCGTCGGCCTCGATCATTTGCGTGCCAGTACCATCGGCCTCGGGTTCAACCTCGTCTCCGGCGCGATCGGCTGCAAGCTCAGCCTCGGGTACACTGCGGCGTAAGCGAGTGCCGCTGGCTGCTGAAAGTACATGTGCCCCTGGGTCTGGCGATCATGACGACGATGGCAACGGCACCGCTACCAGCCCTGCTCCCTCAACATCCAAGCGATCGGCATCGGATGTCACGTGCACAGCTGCTGCTTCTTCAACAGCGGCTCAAGCAGCGGAGTCGCCTCTTCCCGCTGCAAAACGAGCAGCATCGAGTGGCACGCGCACCGCTACCGTTGCCGCTACTGCTACCACTCGCTCTGAAGCCACGGTATCTGCTGCGGCTACGCCACCGAATCGGCACAACGTCGCCCCAATATTTCGGTCGAAATCAGGGACAGAAAAAAAATATCTGATGCACCACGCGGCGGCTGACAAGTTTATTGGCGTTCTGAAGTTGATGGATGATTATTGCATGCGATGTACTATTCGACAGGCGAAACCCGTCCTGAAGGCCGAGCATCAATGCGTATCTAATCGTGGTTGCAAGCGGTGTCACTTCGAAGGACACGAGACAAGACTTAAAAAATGTTCCGTGCACCTCGCATACCCCGACAGAGCCTGTTGCTACGCTTGTGGAATGCCAAGGTGGATTCGTGGATGGGATACATGGGATCACCTTTGCAGGCAGTCTCAAGGACTGGATTCGGGCCTGAGCTGTCTCCTCCTTTATTCGGACTGTCATCCGGGGCTGCGCGACCTGGCCCAGCGGATGGGCTACAACTTGAGGGAAAGGACATTGAAGAATTTAAAAACGCGCGACTTGTTTGTCAAGTGGCTGTACTCGCCCGTTCCTGGTCTACCTCCTAAGGGATGGGCATTGGCGTCTTGTGGAATTTGTGTTTGAAAGTGCGAGGATCCTGCTCCCCAGTGCGGCGAAAGCCCAAGTCGGCCCCGACAGTTTTCGCTAAACACAGCTCTTTGTGAGAATCAAAACACAGAACCGAATGTCAGAATGTCATCATCTTTATTATCTTCAATAACTGCCGAATATGCCGCGACGTTTTACTTGGAATGGCTATGATCTGCTTCAATTAATTGAAACTTTGCTTCATTAACCTCTTGCCTCTATATCCTCCTTTTGCTCATCATTTTTTTTTTCTCACAGACGCGCCACGATGAAGCGGGCCATGGGTGGGGCGCGCGCGCGCTCCTGGTGGTGCGTTGTCGTCGTTGTGGCGCGACGGGCAAGTGCTGCCGAGGTGCAAGCGACGACATGGATGAACGGGTGGCCAAACGACATTGCCGCGTGACCGTCATGGATGGACCATTCTTGCTGATCTCGTGTTGGGCTGCCATTTGTTGTCAAGACAAATCCTCGATCTGACCCATGAAGAGCCGCAACCGCTCGTGCGCTGATGGACGCGCTAGCTAGGCGCAAGAGCCACGGAGCCTGTTGAGATTCGTCACGAAGCACTCCCGCTCAAATGCAGGTGAGAAACCGATCTTAGGCCCGCTTTTGATAATGCTATCCATGACACCCGCTGCCAGAGTCAAGAGCAAAAGTGATATTTGCGAGTTTTGGCGCGCGAAAGGCCGGGTGGTTCTGACGGTAGTGCTGTGTCACAGGGTAGCCGCTGGTGGATGAGGACTCCACAGTGACCAGCGAAAGCGTGTGAAGAATGCGAGGTGAGCTTTGTTTTGACGTGCGCCGAAAATTGTGACCAGGGGCCCGGCTGTCATTTGGTGTTGGTTGAGGAGCCAAGGCGCGCCTTTTTTATGTTTTGGCCGTTTCGAGGGGGGTACTAATGGTGGGGCTGGCGGGTCACAGATTAGCCACAGGTGGATGAATACTTCCCATTGAGCAGCGGAAGCGTGCGAAGAATGCGAGGTGAGCTTTGCTTTGACGTGCGCCGAAAACTTTGACCAGGAGGCCGGCTGCCATTTGGTGTTGGTTGAGGAGCCAAGGCGCGCCTTTGTTTTTGTTTTTTTTTGGTTTGGGCCGTTTTGAGGGGGGGTACTAAAGGTGGGGCTGTCGGGTCACAGATTAGCCACAGGTGGATGAATACTTCCCATTGAGCAGCGGAAGCGTGCGAAGAATGCGAGGTGAGCTTTGCTTTGACGTGCGCCGAAAACTTTGACCAGGAGGCCGGCTGCCATTTGGTGTTGGTTGAGGAGCAGAGATGCGCCTTTTTTCTTGCTTGGCCGTTTCAAAGGGGGTACTAATGGTTATGCTGGCGGGTGACAGGGCGGCCAACGGTGGATGAGACTCCACAGTGAGTAACGGAA